GTGATTGGTCAATGACAACGAAAATATTTTGATTTGCCTCATACGGTAATCGAATCCGCAAAGTTACCTGAAGGTCAAGCTAGTTGTTCTAGTTGTCATGATTCTTTTCGCCATGTGCCATCATTCCTAGATATATAACTTATATGTATTAGGGGTACCTCCTCTTAGGTGTTTGGGAAAGATGAGAACGACCGGTGAGCCCGGAAATTGAGCCTACAATTTTACCCCTGTAAAACAGTGAGTGGTCTGTTGGCAAGACTGACTACTGTGTCTCGAATTTACGTTTGCAACTAAATCGTGAGATGAAAAAGAGTAGCGACGTCAGGCCCGGGTTGTTCGAAATGTGGATAACGCTATCCACCGGATAAATTACTATCCGTTAGAGTGGTTTGTTTTGTTAACACTTATCCCCGGGCACTTATCCACTGGATAGCGATTTATCTGGTGGATAGCGTTGAATCCACCTTTCGAACAACTGGGGCCAGGTAAATAGACCTCGACGAGAGTTCAGAGGCATCAATGAAATGCAATGAATTATCGATAATCGTACATCACACAACATTTCAGACATTTACCAAGTAATCTGACCTGAGCGCTGAAAAGTTGTCTAACTGCTTTTGATTTTTAAGTGATGACGTAGTCGTCGCTTACAGCTGGCAAGCTGCATTCCTTTGGTTAAGTGACTCGGCACGTTTTTCGGACTCCGGTTATGTCGCGCACGATTTACCCCTCTCTGTGGAAGCGAAATGCACTCTCGGAGCTAGTAAGTAAGACAGACCTTTGCGGCCGACCTTTGGAGTTTGTAGGATCCGCGGAGTGCCTTTATTTTCAGCTTTTAAATGAAGATTTTGAGTGTGGATTGTGCTTTATCGTGTATCCGAAAAATTTGCTCTCACGGACAAACTCAAAATAAGAATATATCGTCCATTTCTACAACCTTAGATCGACAAGAAAGTCGCACACGCGATAGGTCAAGGGTCCACATTAAATTTACGTATTGATGAGCCTTGTCTAGGCCGGACCTTTGCCTGTCCTGAGTTGAATTAAACGAGCACTGTCAGAGCATTGTATGAGCATTGTACGAGCAGTGAATTATCTGAACTAAACTTAAGTGTGTGTCACACGCGATAGGTCAAGGGTCCACATTTACGTATTGGTGAGTCAGTGTTGTTTAGGCCTGAACTATTCGTACCTGTGGCTGAAATATTGGTAAAATTGAACTTGAATTGGAGAAGAGCATTGAAGAAGTTCGCTGTGAAACCAGTTGAGATAGCAGAAAGCAATGGAGAATAGTGTAACAAAAAGGTGAGCTACCTGAAGGTTTTGTCTTGATCAGAACTGGTTAATGGGGGGAGAGGGGAGAGGGTACTTTGGGAATTTCTGGGTGGGGATATGCCGCTGTGATCCTGGAACCCTTAGCCTATACCAGAGCTAGTTCAGCTGAACTTTGCTAACCTATACTAGAGTAAACTCCC